TATATATATATATATATATATATATATATATATATTGCCGTTTCAGTCCTTGCGCGACTTTCGGTGATTCTTAGAATAATTAAAAGCAGCGGTAGAGAAAAAGTGCATAAACGTGAATAAAGTAAAAACAGAAGAAAGTATGGAAAAAAATAAAAGCAGAAGAAAAAACGAAATTAAAATGAAAGACAAAAATAGAAATAAAAATAAAAGTAAAGATAGACGTAAGAGTGAAAATAAAAAAATTAAAATTAAAAACAGAAGTGTGTTGTTCAATTAGTTACAATCGATATTCCTGTTAAGAAAACTATAATTAGGAGAGGAAAAGAAAGAAAAGGGTGGGGAAGGAAGCAAAAATGAGGAAAGGAGGTGGGGAGGAAGACGCCTAAAACTCTGGATTAGTTGCTTTCGTTATTATTAGTGCTTACAATCAACTAAATTAAATTGGTCTTTCGTCGGGTTAGCTTCTGAGGTTATGTTCACGACCGAAAACTAGCAGTGTTTTTTCTTTGAACCCTTCTTTATTGTTTTTTTCCATTTTTTAATGCTGTTCATTGTATCATTGAATTTTTTATATACTACAAAAAATATTAATAGAGATCTAGGCTATCACAGTGGGATTTGACAAGTATGTTTCAAAAAAAAAGCGACAGCTTTAACTAGTTGAAAACGGAAAAAACGCCGTTCTTTTGTTGAAGTTGTTAAATGATTGCATAGGAAAGTCAGTCTGCAATTTTCCTTCCACTTTTCTTTCCCATACATAGATGAGTGTTTTTTTTGCATTTTTTGCCAAAGAACTAACTTGCACTAAACACTGTCACTTTGCCAAAGGAATATCAATCCTAAAAGCAAAATATTCTTGTTTTATTATTTTCTTCTTTTTCCGTTTTACTCAAAAGAAATAAAAATTTAAGCAATGAACCTCATGCTTATCAAAATGACAGCTGCAACAATAGATGTAAGCAACTTGTCGATTCCAAAAGATTGGCCCATCAAAACTGATATTGACGGTCATTTTTTCGTGTCCACTGCTGTGATTTTTCCGGAATATCACGTATATCCAGACAGGACTTTCTTCGGAATGTGCAGCCATCAGAATTAGTTTCCGCCAGCGGCGGCACACCAGTTCAATGCTAAAAATAATGAGCAGTAAGTGTTAACGGTTTAACTGATTTCAATCGTCCTTATCAACCGGATAAAAATTTTAACACTGCAGCCCAGTGGTAGCCTAAACAATAGTTTTATCAGTCTCTGCGGTTACCCGAATATGAGAGAGATAGAAAAAAAAGAAATAAAGTGAGTCTTGCTAGAAAACAGTTTAAAAAATCATGTTTTTCTAGGCTCCACATGAAGACTAGAAATCCTCTAAACTATTCACCATTACTGCTACGTCTGATACGAACAAACGTTTGTGTTGAACCAGGATTAAGCTTTGTTTAAGATATTGAGCAGTATTAGTCGTAAATTGCATCTTCAGCGGTCTAAACTTGACAGCTACAATACATATCATGCATAATAAAAGATAATC